TAGAACTCACAAACTGGCCACAAGATATAATGAGTGTTTCTTGAACATCCAAATTGTCATCCATTTGTTGTGTGAAGCTTCTCATCCCTGGGCTTTACATCCTTTTTGGATGTCAATGTCAACTGTGTCAGTGTTTGTTGGTGATTTTCAGAGGACTTATGTAAGTCAATTCCCCATGTCGAACGTTCTACACGTTCTAAAATGGGACGGAGTAATAACGTGCTTAAAATGAGATTGCCATACTAAGAACGGAATTGCCATACTACGAACGGAATCGCGGCGCTTCAATTTTACTGGGTATGTGTGAGGACGTAGTGCAGTCCGGCATCAATTGCAATACGTTTGTACACAGTTTCCACCTGGTCCATCCCGTTTGCAGAACTCTACTGAACTCTAGTTAGTCGCTATTCCAAGCAAATATGTTCAAAACAAAATGAATCGTTCTGAAGAAACTTGTAGTACACGGTTCTAACAGTTTGAAATTGGTTCTCATCACGTTCTACTCGTTGTTAGTATGTTTATGTAGTTCTCATGCAGTTCTTACTATGTCAACTCTGTGTGCATTACGATATGACAAGGTAGGGTATATATACATGCGTTTTTAACATGGTCGTCATTTGGGATAGAGTTTCTATGAACAAGCTTGCAGCTGTCAGAATATTGAATGCTGGTTTCCTGCAATTTTTATCGGAAGCAGAGCAAGAGTACAATGAGTTGGTAGAGCAAGAAAGAAGGAAAACACAAGAACTTGTTGGCTGAGGAACTGGCTTAAACCTGAGAGGTGAATAGCTGTGGGACATTATCATCAGCTGATGGAGGAGCTCCGCCTTGATGATCATGAGTCCTTCTACAACTTCTTGAGAATCACCCCACCCATGTTTGATGAACTTCTTGAACGCATTGACCCCTTTATAAATTAGATGTTCACCTTTCTTCTTCCTTGGAGGCATGGTGATGTCAATGTTTCCACCTTGAAACTGAGAACGGAATAAGAATGGGCAGGGTATTTATATAAATCGAACCAGGAAGTGATTGCTATTACGATTGCACACACTAGAAACGGAGTGAGAAAGTAGTGAGAATGGGAAGAAGTGCCTGAAAATGAGTTGGTTTAGAAGAATGAGTTAGAACGGGGTTGTGCGCATTAAGAACGAGATAGGTTTAGTTCAGAAGGGATATAAAGTGACTATGGACAGGATTGTACTGCTTGATAACGTTTTCCACACGGGGTGAACGGGCAATTTTACCCACTCTAAACGTAACACCAACTGTCTGAGGACAGGGTAAAGACGAGACAGACGTACTGAGAACTGTTTATGATCAAACTAGCATTGTAATTTATACAAAAGTTACACGTTCTATCCCGTTCGAGGTCACTTTACAGTTATTGTTTGGACAGGGCAGGACGTCCTAAGAACTACATTGGTGTGACTCAGGCTTTACCAACAGGTAGCATGGCTGGACAAACAAAACACCATCGTTCGTTCATACATGCTACAAGACTAGACTTGTTGACAGGACTGCTGATGTATTTTTCCCCATTGTCTTTGCAGTGGTTTGTTTTGGCCAACAATCTTGACTTCTAGCGCCGTTGGCGATCCTCTTTTGATTTGCTCCCCGGCTTTGATTTACTCTTGTCTGGCATACCTGTCCCAAACAACATCAACTCTAATGCAGTCTGTTCGATTCAGAATTGAAGTGAAGTTGTCTCAATGCATATCAGCCAAGTGTCCAAATGTGGAAGCAGCTCCCTTTCTGAACATTTGCAATTTTGCCATTCCATCAACTATATGAACTGGCAACATTCTTTCTTCTGCTAGTATAAGCAGCGAAGGATCAAAAGCTTTTAAAGTTCATTTAACAAACCGCTTTTGATGTTCTTTCTTAATGTTCCATCTGAATGGGCCATTGTAAAATGAACACTAGAAATGTCCATGTTCACATCAAGGTTGATGACAAATCCATTCAATCTTCCAAATGAATGATGCCTGCATCTTGTGAACATTGGGAGTGGAGTTGTTGTCTCAAAGGATATGATTCACAGCCTCTTGCATGTTAAACAGATTGGGGCAGAGCAAAGGGATAACATCATAAGTAGTCGATTGAACTCTTCCAGGACAAACTTGTGGTCACCTTTACATCGACTGAACCTGAAAACCTTTTCTACATTGATTCCCAAAAAGGATGTAAAGCCCAGGGATGAGAAGCTTCACACAACAAATGGATGAAAATTTGGATGTTCAAGAAACACTCATTATATCTTGTGGCCAGTTTGTGAGTTCTATTCATGTACCAAATAATCCAGTGATGTCTGTAGATGACACAAGATATTGAATGAAAACCTCCCACCAACATCCAACAGTCTAAAACATCACATTGAAAGAGTAAACTACCAAGTCCATGTTTGGAAACAGTCTCTGCAACCAATCATGAACATCCCTTCACCAGTTGAGCATGGTTGGAGCATTTGTGATGGTCAGCTTATCCTATTCTGATGTCGAGAGATCCTGCTCCCCGTGGATTGGTTGAACTGACATCGTGTAAATGCAAAAAGTCAGCATGCCAGCAGAAAGAATGATATAGTGTGCACATAGGCATGTCTATTTGTATGGCAGATGATTGTTGCCCGAACACATTTGACTTGTTGCCAGTAGATGACTCCGATTCTGACATGAGTGAGTGAGTGAGTTTAGTTTTACACTGCATTCAGCAATATTCCATCTATATGGCGGCAGTCTGTAAATAATCGAGTCTGGACCAGACAACCCAGGGATCAACAGCATGAACATCAATCTGTGCAATTGAGATACGATGACATGTGTCAACCCAGTCAGCAAGCCTGACAACGTTACCAGATCCCGTTAGTTGCCTCTTACGACAAGCATGGGTTATTGAAGATCAATTCTAACCCGGATCTCTGCAGGTCCGATTGTGACATGAAGTAACATATGAAATGAAAGAAAGTGAAAAGGAGGGTTAATTGCAAGCTTATGGATGTATCAAAAGTGATTAAGAGTTATCTGATAGAACAATTTGAATGCCTACAACCAAAGCTTAGACGTAGTTATCGGCCATGAAGCATAGTTTTCAAACACTTTTGGATAATGTTATTTCATCAAATATTTTAGGAGTGTGAAGCTTTGAATGACCTTATCATTGAAATTTAGCTCTATTCCTATACTGTATTCAACATTAGACACCAAATGATTTGTTTGGATTTCATATCAGTACAAATTTAGTCCTCAACTAAGTATATGTAGTAAAAACTACAATGGCGGCCATTTTGGCGGCCATTTTGAATTCTGGGTAATATATAAAAATCCCTAATAATATGCCGTCACTCTAGAAGTAAAGAGAAAACAAAAACAACTTGTTTTAGTAACAAAAATAATGTTATCTGCCATTAAATAAATCACCCTCACACATTTTCATGAACAGTCTGAGAAATGCCAAAATACCCCTGTCTCAAAGAATAGGCTGTAAAACATTACATTACCACGATATGACCAACCAAATAACTTGTTTTGTGCCCAAGCCATCACTCTAGGAGAAACAAGCGTCAAAACACATAAAAAATATCAACTTTGGATGTAAATGGAAAAATTCGGTGTTCATGTTTATGTAGATTTAAGTGCTGAGAAGGCAAAACACGACAAAACAAAATGGCGGCCATAATGGCGGCCATTTTGATTTTTTTTCAAACAAAATTATGTCAAATAATTTCTACATCCTTTAGCAGTACACAGAAGTCAAAATGAAAGTGATCAGATTGATAGTAGTAAAACTATTAATGATTAACTTTGATGTGTTGTCGGGCAGCAAACCAAATGTGACGACAATGTCCCCAGACCCCCACCACATATAATGGCCTGTAAAAAAAACCTGATACCACAATCTGAGAGTATTACAGGCCTTTTCATGAGCCCAAGACATCATACTAACAGTTGTTTGTTTCAAGTGTTTCAGTGGGTACTAAGTCTTATTTGTCAACTGATATAGACAATAAATTAGATAAGAATGAAAGATCAGTCAGCACATCACCGACTAAACTACCACTGGTTAATCTTTTGAACAATTTGATCAATATTCCAGCTGTATGGCGGCGGTCTGTAAATAATTGAGTCTGGACCAGACAATCCAATGATCAATATCATGAGCATCGATCTACACATTTGGGGTACGATAACCTGTGTCAACCAACTCAGCGAGACTGACCACCCGATCCCGTATGTACATGTATGTATGTGTGTGTGTGTGTGTGTGTGTGTGTGTGTGTGTGTGTGTGTGTGTACGTACGTGTGTGTGTGTGTGTGTGTGTGTGTGTATGTGCGTGCGTGCATGCGTGCGTGCAGGCATGCATGTATGAAAATCAAAATCCAAATACATTAAAAAAATTGTGTGGACAAATCAAGTATCACCCTCGAAGCGACTCTGCACAGGGCATCTCCTATTTTAGACCTAACGTCGTGTTGAACCGTATTTCAATTTCATGCGGGAGTCAAGCCAGAAGTAATGAAAGTTCGATACATTTAGTAAATTGCGTAAACACACATAGGGTTCTGACAAAAATAAAACATAATCGAAGCAAACGGGAAATCAAACCCACACCCAAACATTTCTGGCACGTATAAGGGAGGTAACTCTGTGAGGAATTGCGGCGTCGTAGGCAATCCCGACAGACACCGAATGAGTTCAGATGACGTCATTATACTTGCCGTCCCGTAACAGCTCGAAGATACACCCTGACAACAGATCAGCTCTATCTGTGTACGTCTCATTGTCCTCCTGTAGTGTTATCCCGTGCCTACTCAGTGCCCAAAGGCTTTAAGCCAGTAAAGCGTGACAGTTTACCTCCAAGATCAATATCCATCCTGCGGTGGATGTAAATTAAATTGATCTAGAAACTAAAAAAACCCGGACAAGTCGTAAGCATAACGCCATCAGCCCACTCCGCCGTAGATCTATCAGGTTGCTATGGTAACAAACAACAAACGGAGGAGTAAATAGAACTAGCTTGCTTTTATTAACAAGAGACAGTTCCAGCACTTCCAAGTCATATCACAGTTCACTTTGATAAATATATAAACGTAATGAATTTAAGGTATATTATTGTAAATTAATGCAACGATCATTATATCATTCTCCGCATATGTAAAACATAAAAACAGGCCATGCCTTTAAGTTGAAAGAAAACATGCAACTAATGTATGCATATTTCATATGTTTTCGAACAGCATCAAATGAGCGTTTAATGTTAACATTGAAACTCTATTCATTCTCTCTTTTAATTTTGTTTTGTAATTCAAGCGTCAATGCACTTTTTGGACGTACAAATGGCCCATGTCAACTTACAATTACTGCGCCAAAGGATAACAGCTGATTACAGTTATTTTATCTAAGTGTCATCCAAAGAAATGTGATCTCCAAAGGAGTTCTCCAACGCATTGAACAGTATTCCTATGATATCACGGCGGGTCATCTGGATGTGGGAGGAAAGCCCGGAGTAACGTCTCACATGCTCATCACTGTAGAGAAACCAACGAAAACACCTATGGTGCTGACAAACCTAGAACCATAACCGTGGCGAATCGGGATTCGACCCCATGATCATAGGTTCCTGGCGTACTCACGGGACTTAACTCTGCACAGCGAATACCGGTGACTGTTGACTGGGTGACGAATCTCAAGGATAGCTTCATCCAGAAATATCTTTTCACTGTCAACGATGCTGTCACAACAAGAGGAGGACATTTCCATGTTTACACAACTCAGTCCGGTACCGTTACATAACATCATGAAACAGTTTGGTGGCATATACAGATTAACAACCATGACATTATTTGATTGTAAAGTGAAACTGTATTTGTTGGTACACGGTGTTGAAAAGAAAGTTTGGTGTTCAAATGTTTTAGAATGACTTTCAAACTTAATCGGAGCTGAATGTCATAGAGTGTTTTCTTTCTTTGTTTCGTTTACCTATTTTCGATTTCATGACATACATCACACAAAGTAAAGACTCCTGACACAGATATAGACTCGGAGAGTATGAAGTGGTATTGTGTGATATAACACACATGGTTCAAAACATGACAAACACTGGTGGAACTAACCGCTTGATAAGTGTCCAAAGCACTATGTAAGTTAGAAATTGATTTCCAGTGCGAAATGTGAATTATTTATATGATGTGCACTCAGGAACCTCTGTAAACAAACGACCCAAACAGTTAATACACTGTTTCATTGTCATAACACTGTAGGCGTACATCTTAAATGTATGTCATATCGAACAAGGTTTAGAGGATGACCCAGATCCTAGACCAGCAGTTCAAATTGTTTAGAAATACCATAATAATGAAATTTGTTTACTTAATGAATAAAACCGTTTTACCAAAACAATGTACCCCGACTTGACGCTTTAAAATGTTTTAGAAACGGCAGTTGTCGTGATGATTATTAATTAAATAGTAACAATATATATATTTTTAGCTCTTTCACCCCTTTTTTCTTTCGTTGTTGTTGGTTATTGTCTCCTGCGAGTCATGAATTGTATATGGTACATTTTGTGCGTGTGACACTTAAAAGAACATTGTCAATTGCTACATTATTACTATGAAACAATCTGACGCGAGGCATGTTGTCTGGAAACCAAGAACGTAAATTGTGAATATTGAGAACGTAAATTGTGAATATTGAAGAAACAAACTGCCGTATCACATACACATTGACTTATGTACACACCTGACAGACAGCCACCATATAAATTTAAAATTCGCACGACTAAAGCAGAATTACAATGGCATTGGTTAGCGTGAAGATGTCCGAACAGGTCAGGTGAGCTAACTGAATAAACAATGTTTCCATCATTCGTAATATGGAAACTGTTGCAAAGTTTACTGAAGATAAATCTACAACTGGTGTAGTGCTAGTATCTACACCAAGAACAGCAATAGCCCCGTCGCACCCTATAGTCCAGCCGCAACGGATAAACTTTTACAAAGACTTACACAAGAAACCCAGTGGGACAGGTACACCCACCAAAATACGCTGTCATCTAAAAATCATCTGGGAGCATGCTGTCCTGACGGACCCTTCCCCTTTCAGCAGTAAACCGTTCTCTTAACAGATTTCTGACACGAGCAGAGGGTATACCGCACTCCAATACCGTTATATCAGAGTTAGTTTCTGTACATCTATATACAAACAAACAAAAGAAAAAAGATATCACAAAGACTGAAATTATCTACTACATCAGATGTATTCATTGACAATTGCTTGAGAATATATGTTCATAATATTGCTTAAATATCGGCATTTCTATGAAAGTCAAGCATAGTTTACTAATAAAGGAAGCATTTACAGAGCCATTGTGCTTGGTAAACATTAAAAGTGGGCATGGTAACATGTAGTAGCGCTTGTATACATATCCGATATCGAATCATGTACGATTGACCAAATAATAGTAACGTCAATTAGACTTATGATAATATAAATAAACTGATTTTTTTGTAAAACATGTAATACTAGAAAAAATCAAAGCTATTTCAAAAGGAAGAACCGCAGCTACTCTGAAATATAGCATGGAATTAAGATCTAATTGAATGTAAATCAAATATGTAAAATATATTATCAAAGTGAATACGAAAACCAATACAGACTTTGGAATGTAGCGAATGGAATATACTGCTTTGGATAATACATGCAACTTAATGTTAGCTTGCCCTATGTGTACACTTGTTCGAATTATTGTATGCATAACTTCAGTTCAAACATGCATCGCAACCTTACTGTCATGTGTTATCGTCGTGTGGTTAAAGAAGACATTGCATAATATTAGTATTTGGTTGAAATGGGTTTAACGTGATCCCGCGATTTCGAATCATGGTCTGTGTAATTTGGTCTCAACACCACTCTGTAGTATATGAAACAGAGCGTCAAATACTGCATTAACATATGAAGGATCACTCATGTATGTGTAAGACACTTATCAGACAGAGGAGTATCAGACATCATTAAATTACAAAACTGAGTTTCTTTAAGGTACTAGTATTTCAACATTTTCAGATAAAGAAAAAATATCTTATATTTGTTTTTGATGCGACTCTAAAGTAACAATTTGTATCTGTGAATATAAAGGGATATATCGAATATGACATTTTATTGAGCAAGGTTCTGATAACATATACATCTCACTACATCTAACTACATCCCACCATATTAGCACCTAACTCATGGTTTTGTTCGGAATACGCAGTGAAAGCACAAAGAGCTATTTACCTATTATGGGGTGATTGTATGTTAGAGTGGTTGGAGTCATACGTTTAAGTTTCTAGGAATGTATTGCTCTTAGTCAGTTGTGTGAGGGTGTATCAGTGCCAATGACTACTAGTATTTGACTTTTCGAGGGGTTAAAACTGGACTTTGGAATGTGAATTGAAAAACAAATGATACTCATTACAGAGACACAAGGTCATCTCAGTTCCACACAATGCACTACAGCGTCTAGAACTACACTGTAAATAGGCACCAGGCTCCCGAGGGGCTCCTTTATAAAACATTAGTAAGGCACATAAATATACACAAGTACAAGGGAGAAATATGCATCCTATATAATAGTTTCCGCTGTGGACAGCTGTCTGTGTGGTTAATTATAAATCAGTCCTGTATTGAGTTTTACTCTTCGTCTTCCCCTTGTCCGTTCACTTCGTTAACCACATTTCTGGTCTGAAACAGAAAAGTCGCTTGTTATCTTAATGTAATCACACGAAGACACATGAGTGAAATTGGAGGATAGTAGCAGTATGATAGGTTCGTCAATGGAACACCAAGTTGGGTTAAGATGAGGAATCGAACTTGGATCTTCGGCGTAACAAGCGAACGCTTTAGTCATTAGGCTGCGATGACCAAATTACACAATAAGGCTTCTTCACTGGGATAATAATTATATTTGGTAATTTATCTATTCGTCTTTTAAAGAAGTCCTGTTAGGAGATAAGATAATTGCAGTGCGAGTTTTTAATAATATATAAGCCTGCGATTTCATGGGGATCTGAATCATAGATCTCCCAGACGAATGACCTATATATGCTCTTGATGAACGCACCCTTGACTAGATGTTCAAAATCCGATCAGCATTCACTCATCAGTGGAATCTGATACTTTCCTTAATAAGGACGTGCTCAAGAAGACGAAGTAATTTCAGTTTGCTCAAGAGTAGACTGTCACAGTTCCCTGTTTCAAGACCAACCCAATTGTAAACTGCCTTAGCACCAAGATTCAGCAATCGACCAAGTGAAAACCATCTCAGTTTCAACGTTTCAGTATTTATCCAAATGTAACCTCAGCGTAAAGACTACCTCACCTTCCCGATTCAGCGGAAGAACAATCTCACCTTCCCGATTCAGCGTGAAAACTACCTCACCTTCCCGATTCAGCGGAAGAACAATCTCACCTTCCCGATTCAGTGTGAAAACTACCTCACCTTCCGGATTCAGTGTAAGAACTATCTCACCTTCCCGATTCAGAATTTATCTAAGTGTAGACTATCCCTGTTCTAAGACTCAGGACTCACCCAAGAGTAAAATGTTCCAGCTCCATGGCTGTTTCTCTTAACGTCAGCCATGTCGTACTTGGAGATGAGTTTGTCCGCCGAACTGGCTTGTTCCGAATTCACACCGACAATGTCAAACTGGCCAACTCTCCTGATGACATTTCCTTGACCAATAGTTTTCATCAGCTTCACGATTCTCTGCCACTGAAAAGCAACAATACAAAATTGGTGATTTTTTCTATATAAACGAAAAGGGTGTAATCATTGCCAAGGACACTATAGTGTCATTAACCAGGGCCTAGTTTGAAAAAAAACCAACGTGTGTGATTGTTTAAAAAATAATTTCGTCGATTAAAACTACACGTACAATATATTTATGTTACTTTTTAGATGCTTTATGTACATACTGATTTCAGTCTTTGTGCTTGGAAAACTTTCTTATTCACAAATACTGATTCTATAGGCTTACCGAAATTGCGTTTGTACTGAGCTCAAAGTGCAAGTTAATACAGGTTCTAAGTTTTCCATAACAAACAGCATTGTGGCCAATGAGTATGAATGTGTGATTAAACAGCCATTCAATGTCTACATCATAGCATTATGATATGTCCAGTCCATGGAGCATCCACACCTGTGATCAAGTAACTCAGCACTCTAGTAACAAATTCAGCTCTGTTTCAAGCACCTGTGATGATTGGTTAACATTATCCAAGCTGATGAGTCACATCGCACATACTTTTGCTTTAATGATTATACGTTTGGCTGTCAACACCAATTCCACAATACATCACGACCCACTCACATCCAGAGATTGTTCCTTCTCTCCCAGGATGATGTAGGTCGCCTTCATCACGTCCTGGATACATGGCTTGGGTCTCTTGTAGCTGGCAATCTCCGACACCAGGCGGGGATTCAGTTCCATCACCTTCGTTCAACAAGGGATACTTAGTCTAACAAACGATGCATAAGCTGAGGTTTAGATGGCGGAATTTCAGGTTACAAAATTAATTCAATATTCACCAAACTGTCAGATGGGTGAAGTTTAACATGAAAAGTTGACTATGATGTTTAGTACCTGTCTGTTGAACTTCTTGACCCTGGCCAGCTGTTCGTTTGTTTCTTTGGCCTCATGGAAGTCCTCAGTGTCGTCCAGTTTGTCCGCCACAGCCGATTGTTCCGCTTCCTCCAGAGCCTTCTGGAGTTTCTCTGCATCACGCTGTCTCCTGGCCTCCTCAAGTTCTTTTGTAAAAGTAAAAGGTATATGAAGAAAAGGCTTATGGGCTCACCACTTCCTGGTAAGCTTACAAGATGACAGCAAATATTGGAAAGATGGTGAGACAGTATTGAAATTATCATATAAAGTGTTCTGTTTGCTATGAAAACTGTTTGAGACATACTTTTTAACTTTTGTGTTACCTCACCATTGGTCGTCTGGTTTATTTGTCAACTTCTGCGTAATGATCTATTATATATGTGTAGAAACTGAACATTTTTGTGAATATGGACGGAAGGCCTTCATAAATATATACTTCTTAATGTTGATGTAAATAAACATATTGCATTGCTGTACAATCTGATCTAGTAGTCCACCTACTTTCCTTGTGCATGTTCATCAGGGTCTCCTCAGCCTTGGTGATGTCACCCTTGTCCTCTAGTCCGGCTCTCTTACATTCCTCCAGAGCTTTGTCCAGAGCGTCCATGTTGTCGCCAGCCTGCGCATCGGCCAGTTTCTTCCGCAGTTTGTCCTCTTCAGCCTTCAGTAGTTCTAGATGGAGTTACAGACAATATCATCATGTATTCAAGTATGCATCTGCTCTTCAACTTTACGTGTATAGTTTCACTTTTAGGTCTCCTCATTGCAGACAATTCATCTTAACGTCTAAATATGCACGCTTACTGGTCTCATTTTAACCACTATCGTTATACGATGTGTCCTCCTTGGCAGCAGTGATGGTTGTCATCCTAATTTATCGCATTTAAATTGTACATTGCATGGTTGTATTTGGGTCTATTGTAGACATAGTCCACACGTAGACTTACTGTTAGCCCTGAGCTTCACAAGCTTCTCCTTGGCCTTAGTTAAGTCCTCGTCCTTCTCATCTAGGCCTGAGTCCTCGAATTCCTTGATAGCTCTCTCCAGTTCATCTGCAGAAGCATTCTCAGTGGCGTCCCGCATCACCTCCCGCGCCCGCTGAGGATAAGATACAACTAATAGACATCAGACATAGTTCCTCTATGATTTGTCAGACCAAGGATACTCCAAACACACATTATGTTCTGTAAAATGATTGTCTTCAAATCAGAAACAAATATACAAAATATTTTTATAGGTTGCAACTTGAGTTTTAGTTCAAGTATTATTCATCGTTGCATAGCCAATGCTTTTCAGTATCATTAATACAACCATTTTGTTTTCAGTAATCGCAGAAATAGGGCCAGGTGTCTCACCTCGTCCTTTGGCTCTGGCTCTTTGTGTGCATCATTCTTCAGTTGTCTCAGTCTCTCCTTGGCCAGGGTCAGATCTCTGTCCCTTTCGTCAATACCGGCCTCCTCAAAATCACGGATGGATTTCTCAAGGTCCTCTATCGAATCTCCATCGGTATCGTCTCTCATTCGTTTTCTGATAGCCTGCCAACGTCGATGAAAAGAGCACTCAAAACATAATTTATTCTACATTCTACATTCAATCACCCAGAATTAGACAAACAGCTAGTCTCTGAAATTAACATACTTTGCAGAAAAAAAGCTCATAGTGAAAAAAAATGAAATATAATGAAAAGGAGCCCTGAGACTTTTCAGAAACTGTGGAAATCTAGACTTGCCACATTTTCTAGACTTGCCTGGCCTTTCTTGGATGTATTTGCTTCAGGGTCTGTATGACAGACTGACCGAGAATAAAACATAATCATATATATTTATTTAGAGTGCGAGAATCACCTAGCAAAGAGTATCTACAAAGTGTGTCAGGAAGACACACAATGAACATGTGTGAATACAGACCAATATGTATCATGTGAAATCGCGCTATCTAATACTACACCACGTACATCTTCTTCTGCCTTCTTCTTTTTCAGCTGTTCCAGTCTTTCCTTAGCCTTGGTCAGATCCCTGTTCTTCTCATCCAGGTCTCCATCCTCAAAGTCTTTGATCGACTTTTCAAGTTCCTCGATGGAGTCTTCCTTTGTGGCATCACGCATGCGCTTCCTTATGGCCTGTGTAGGTAGACAAACATAGTTATGCGATTTAGTGAAGAATTGTCCCTGGCCTTTTATGTTTCATTCTCTAGTCTTGTCAGGATCCACGGTTTATTGGATCACATTCAAATCCTGACCATTATTAATCATTGGGATATTTTGTAAGAGTGGCATTTTAGAAGCTGTGACGTACAATACTGAACAAACTTTATGGATAGCAAACTCCTTTATTTCATGTATGCGACATTTCGATACAGATTCTTGTACCGTTGTCAGGCAGGAAACAGCTAATAAGCTAAACATTTCTCATTTCTGCTTGACAACGGTACAAGAATCTGTATCAAAACGTCGTCTTCACGAAATGAAGAAGTTGTTATCCATACAGTCTGGGACATTTTGTTTAGGTCTTTAAACCTTAATTTGTTTCACTGGTGCTCAAGGACTTCATTAAATTGGCGATTGGTTTAATTAATCTGATATGCACTAAACAAACTGAAGTCCTGTTCCAAGGGGCTATAACTCATTCACACACTTTATGCACTTGTGTTGAGGGTACAGCAGCTCATACCAGTATTACTGCGATAAACTACTACTAGATACACTTCCATGGTATGGGTGTGGGAGTCATCCAAGGTGGCGCAATTCACACTGCAGATTTCTATCCCTAGGAAACCCTTGATTCCGCGTTTGAATCTCTGTTTACCCAAGTTAATTTTCCAGTTTGGTCCATACTGTTATACTGCTTGACTTACATACTCGTAAATGTGTAGGACCTCCATCATATCCTTCCATACACGTATCTGATATAATTATTTATCATTATAGGATATTTATATAGCGCACATATCCATGCAATAAGTACATGCTCAAGGCGCTGGGTTTTTCCCTCCATCACTGGATGTCAATTTCAACTGCACATCGTATTATCAATCTCAACTCCCTGGGGATCATACAACTCTTGCAGCCACTAGGCGCACCAAGTTATTGTGGCTTTCCCATCCTTACGAGGCACCCATTCACAGCTGGGTGGACTGGAACCCATAGTCACCGTACTTTGGCCAAGTGTACTGCACGTTGCTGTACCCGCAACTAGGTGTTTGTAATTGCCACCATCTGGTCATTTTAAGTGCGCAGGTTTGTGTACTGTACACTAGGGGTTGTGACAACACTGAAAGCGTCTACACACAAAGTTGACTCCAAGGTTTTCACATCCGGTTACAGGTGGGTTCGATCTCGGCACCTCCAAGCCCCCTGGATCACCAGCATGGCACCTTAGAGAGATCTCGAACCATGCCCCCATCTTAATGATGTTTGGTGTCACTTAATTGAAATACATACTACATCAAGTTTTACCTCATCCTTGTTAGCTTTGTTCCTGAGCAGCACAAGTCTTTCCTTGGCGCGGGTATAATCTTCATCCTTCTCATCCAACTTTGACTTTTCAAAGTCCCTGATTGTTCTCTCCAGATTGTCGATGGACTCTTGATCGGTGGCATCTCGCATGCGGAACCGGGGACTCTGTTAACACAAAGTGACAAGTAAAAGTATCTTGCCACGTGTCTGTCATCTATATTTTATGAAATGAGGTTAATCCAGTCAGACTTACTACTGGTCATGAATATGATAATATGGTTCAAATGAGAAGAAATGTACCTCAGATCTAACCGGAGTCCGTGGTCGCTGTCGCGGAGCAGGCTTCTGCTGAACCCTGACCTGTGCATGGGCTGGTCTCTGCTGGACACGGTTACTGGGTTTGGCGTCTGAATCATCCTTCCACTGGGCCTTGTCCGGCGTCAGGAAGTAGTTGCACACGTTCCTGTAGGAGTCATGACTGTCCTTCTCCCTCGTGTTAATCTCCAGAGCATATTCCGAGTCTCTAGTTAGACCTTCCTCTGGCATTGTCACAGTTATCTCAGCCTTTTTGTCCGTGACGTTTTTCTCCACGTATTTATCGAGTTCATCCAGAGTCTTGTCTCGATGATGCATCTTCGTCTCAAACTCGGATGGCTTCTCAACATCAAATTCAAACGTCATCTTCTGTCCGTGTTCCATGACTACAATGCCGCTGTAGGCTGAGGTGGTGACGAGACCAGCGTCCCTGGCTTCTTGACTATAACCATATCCTATGTCCTTCTTTAGAGGGAACGGGTTAGGGTTCTTCCCTTCCTCTTCACAGCGGATACGGAAGTCACAGATATGCGGAGGGTTGTATCCACTGCCACCATACACACGGAGTTTATAGAGTCCTCTTACTGGGAATCTAAGGAACAGTGCCTTTGTTGTGCCTTGTGTGTTTTCAAGAACATATCGTTCCAGGTCCTCCGATTCTGGCAACGTTTCATCTGATTGATCTTCATCGCAAAACAGCTCATAGGAAAGAGATGGGTTTTGTCTTTTGGATGTTCGAATCGTATGGCTTCTTTGCCGTTCTTTGCCACAAGATAACATGTTTGCTGGCTTGTCAGTTTCAGACCGGAGTTGAAGTATTCTGTTGTAAAATATGGTCCTTTGACGAACTGTTCCTCGGTCCATGGCTCCTTTAGGAGCTGCCATGGCTGACTGTTTGCACGGCAGAAATTCACAAAACGTTCGGGGTCTGTGAGAAAAAAGAAATCCTCGCTTGCTCGCACGTCCTTGCCCTTGTATTCAATCTCTTTCTCACGATGACCTTCACCTTGGATTAAGGGAAGGAAATGAAACATGTGATCAGCTTTGCCTCATGTATACCTCCGCGTGCAATAAGAGTCTGAGTAATGCTAATTATTAACACAAAATTAATTGTCTATAACTATTGTTGCATATATTTTAGGTACCTCTAATTCACCAATGGTTTACTTCTTCAAATGTAATTAACGTTACACAATGCCGCTCAAATATATATTAAGCATAAGCGGGTCAGGAGGGGTGGCGGTATGGTACCCCTTGAACTGTGCACCCCCTTTCTCTGTATCCGCCCCTGTTAAACTATGTATTTGTCCCTTTGGTGCCCGAGGTATAACTGATTTGGGTTTGATGCACGTATAATGCATTTCCACGTAAGAGATACACTGGTCAAATCTTTCCGGTTAAATCAAAGCTTTAAAAAACTTCGTTACTTCCATCTGTGTACGTACCTTTCTTCTCTATCATTGTCCACCTGCCATTGGCATGACCCTCTACCCCAGTGAAGGCCCACAGAGGGTGCACCAGCCGCCACTGACCTCCCACATGTACAGCGTTCCACTTGCTGTTGAACTTTGACACGTCCTCATCACCAGGCTCGTACCCAACGGCCTTCGCCTTGCCTCTCAACACAACACAGGGAATCTTGGCAGCTCTGAAATGTTGTGAAGCATGTTCTTAATTATGTTTGGTGCCATACCGAAATGAAGTTCTCCTTATCAGCAAGAAGGATGTTAGCAGCTAGAGAAGATTCGACTCTCTAGCTAAACGTACTTCTTTTCTCTCTGAAACATTTTGTTATGTCACTTTTAGTTACATTAAACTTTGATAGTTTTCGTGAACATATAGCTGAGGGTGGCAATTTCTCCAGGTTATGAGATGAGGTGGTAAGTACGTTCGCATAAAAAAAAGGGAAAAACTCTACATTCTTACGAGAAGAACGATTCGGGACCGCACATAATTATGGCAAGGGGGTTGATGATGATTTTATGGAGTAGCATGTACAATGTGAATGACCCCCCCTAAAATTCAAGTACAAAGTAAGTGACCCTTTGCATGCAATGTACAAAATCAATGCCCTCCGGCCCCCCTCCATAATTTTTAAGCATAAGTTTAAAATACTGTAATGTACAAAAGCAATTACCCCACCCACCCACCTCCGCAGAACAAAATGAGCGACCCCGCCTTAAAATCATCATCATCATCATCATCATCATCATCATCATCATCATCATCATCATCATCATCTTCTTCTTCTTCATAAAAAAACCCAACAACCCCCAACCCCCTAGCCATGAATTATGAACGGTCCATTAGCAGGTACGTCCATGGTACAGAGTCGATGTGTTCACGAAAATACGTAAGGAACTTGTTCAATATATCCTTGTTTGCACTGAAATCGTCGGCATATACAAGAACATCACTAAATGAAGTATGACTACACCCAACACGGACCTGCACAGCAGAGAGAAGAAAGCAGCATAGCTTCCCCGCTGTTGTTGTATGAGCTTCATGTAGCCGATAGGGGTGTTGGGGTCCTTGACGTTCCCCAGCTTCATCTCTTCGATGCGCTGAGCCCCCAGCCAGGTGAAGATGGCGCGCACCATCTGGAGGTCCGTCTTCAGGTCCTCAAACAGGAAGTTGAGGAGGGACTCGTAGTCGGACGTCACGGAGGACGACGCCTGGAATACCAGTATCAGTGAGGTGATCAGGGATCCCTTTATGATTCTCATCATTACATATAAGACAGGGTCGTCAGTAAACTCATTGTTCATGTTATTAACAGTCACCGAATCTAATATTTGTTTTAGAGTGATACAAAATTAGAAATTCATTGAGGAGTTACCTTGATCTGTTTGGCCACCGGTATATTAGAGTGGCACAACTGTAAGACCTTTGCCCACTAGTCATAAATGGCACGGTGACTTGGTGACTAGTTTGAAATTATAAATTTAACGATGATCACATGTGCTCTAGAAAGTTCAAGAGCAAAATTCTCTCAGGGTTTCACGTTACTTGCACTTAAAAGTTACTCTCAGTGTTACAACATTCGTAAGGCGTAATCCCGACTCCATATGCCCCATGAACCAGGTTATTAGTTATATTAGATCTGTGTATTTCAGAAGCAGTGATGGTATCAAAATTCAAAATTATATAAATTACAAACTCTAGTTTAGACTGACTGACTGAGTTTGGTTTTACGCCGCTTTTAGCAATATTCCAGCAACATCACGGCGGGGGACACCAGAAATGGGCTTCACACATTGTACCCATGTGGGGATTCGAACCCGGGTCTTCGGCGTGACGAGCCAACGCTTTAACCACTAGGCTACCCCACCGCCCCCTCTAGTTTAGATATGAAAAGGACAGTGTGTGTCTGTTGGACGTGTCCGTGAGGAAGAGCAGCTCCAATACACGAGTGATATCAAACTTATGACGTTTGCATACGAGGGATGTCATCTGAGTGGTATATGCTGCTATATTCCTCTTGTCTTTACCGAAAAGGTTGCTATAGGTAAACCTTGTGGTGATTGTCTTGTTTGACAAAATAGACATCTTGTTTCCCAAGAATCAACAAATAGGAAGCGTGTTGTGTAGGTGTGATTGGCTGAACGTATGTGCCAACATCGATATTGCGTGATGTAAGTGTGAGAGTGTGTTCAGTGATGCGACATCAGATATAGGCTCTTTTCAAGCATGGTTGAGCGAATTAGGTTCAACGATACTTCCAAATGTTTCCCAACATTACGGTGTATCAGCATAAAGATGGTGAACAGACAATACTGAAGTATTTCGATTTCGATGTTTGGTGTAAAGAAACCCAAGGATGTTAAATCAGACTGCAATTCGAGCCCATGTTTAGGGGATCCTGACACGACTAAGGGCCGCAACTCAGAAATGGGTGTCTGTGTCTGATTAGCTGAACCGTCCAAAGAGGACTGACTGCTAAAACGACATTAACTGAAAAATACAGTTCTCGCTAGAACGGAACCCCCTAATCTAACCCCCTTGATGAGACTCGAACCTTATTACTGGGTTCCACTTTATAGACCTCTGAAAAGTTAGTCTCATGGCAGTTGTTTGTCTCTAATAGAGCTTCTATAGTAATTATATCTCTATATTTTGGTTCACGCTTCGTGTTCTGTTCTGTAGAGTGTCTGTAATTAGTTCTGCATAATGTATACATTTAGAGTTAACGATGTCACGGTCGACTTGTGCATCAGTATGACATGTTACGTATTTGATTGACATCGTTCAATCATCTGTAGGCGTTTACCAGGTCAGCATGTCATTACCGTTTCACTGCAGGACTGTGTTATTTTGTTTTGTGGCATCCTTTCAAAAATCTCCATGGGAACGTGTATACGAACGTGGGGATAAAAGGTTCAATGAGGTGAACGTAAGCTTCAAGGCAAAATAACGACGCCGCATCTTTGTACATGTTTCCAGACGGGTGAATATATAGATTTAGGGTCCCACGAGAAAAGGAACTTATTTCCGATATCAACTGAACATGCAGAAAATCATGTGTGTTTGTGCTACAGCCAACTACGCTTTGTAACGAACATGTTTATTACGAATTGTCGGATATAACGAACTGTTTCCTTTTTTTTTGTTCTAACTAGTCGAAATACATATTACAAGCTACGATCAGGACAAACATAAATATCGTCCCTATTGAATTGAATTATGACCGTAGCGTACTGTAATAATATAACCGCTTGAAACGTATCCAGTAGAACGATGTGAATGAGCAAAATTAGCTTTACAAATTCAATATGCATGTTTTATAATGTGTTTCAATTAATAATATATGCAAACTACATAAAACAGTGGTAGAGCTATAGCAATCCTATATTTAAACTAAAAGGATAAATGGAAGCGAGATTTAAAGAACTCATAGTAAATGCATTTATAGGAGGAAGATATCACCAAATGCCATTTAAAAGTACTGTTACTACATGTCTTAAGAGTTTCTTATATCTGCATCCTTTGGTACACAATGTTAATTTTACATTGATCACAATATCAAAACTGGATTGACAGCCATTTGATATTTCATGCAAAGGATTTAGCCTCATGACTTTAATATACCAACAACATATAAAATACATTCTGTGAAAAATAAATCAAGAAGTTGTTATCCATAAGATGTGTCTTGTATTACTACACCAACTTGTAAATGCCTTTGAAGAATTACATTCTGTGAAGCCTGTCGTAAGGCATGTTATGAAGCTTAAACCAGGACATAAGAACTCTTACATACAGGAATATAAGCAGTACTTGACGCCCACTTCAATAAACCATTACATCTTAGCTATTTCCTTCCACACCAAAGTATGCTTTACAGGTACGTCTATTTTCCGATTGCAATTCTTAAGCCTCACAGAACCCCATACGCATTATACTTCCGATCCAGGAAACAGAATTTGATAAACTTTGCTTTCAAAAAGAGAACGAAAACACACGTCGATATAAGAAACTGTAGGAAACAGAAAATACAGGAAACATGTAGCAAGCTCAAGGGACCACTTTGTTTAGCTGGTTATATGTCTTTCGAAGAGGAACACTGTTTGTGCATAGTCAACCTCTTTATTGCAATAGATGCCACGTTTCAGTGTAGATGCTAACACCGTTGTCAAGTAAATGATGAAATAAAGAAGCTGTCTGAGAAAAGTTCCTCTTCATCACACCAGTTTTCACATGCCACTTTAAAGAGTGAGTCAGTGAGTTGTGTTTTACGCCGCACTCAGCAATATTCCAGGCATATGGCGGCGGTCTGTAAATAATCGAGTCTGGACCAGACAATCCAGTGATCAACAACGTGAGCATCGATCTGCGCGATTAGGAACCGATGACATGTGTTAATCAAGTCAGCGAGCCTGACCACTCGAACCGGTTAGTCGCCTCTTACAAGCATGGGTTACCGAAGGCCAATATTCTAACCCGGACCTTCACGGGTCGCCACTTAAAGAAGTTATA